AAAAGTGAAGGAAAAAAACCAAACAAAACCCAACCCAGTTGCCCGAGGATGGAGTTTCAGTAGCCAACCACAGCTGGACTCTCGGGGGAAGAGGGTTTGTGCACTCTGGCTCACGCACACATGAAGAGATTCTCCAAATTGTTTCGCTTCATGAAGAGATAAGGCCAGTTGAGCTCAATGTTTTTAAAGGTGGGCCGTGTATGATGAAACCCAACTTCTTTTAAAGTGTAGCAGATTTCATTTTTATGGCCAAATGACAGCTTGACCCAGTTGTTATCCAATCAAAGGGCATTTTTTTGAATGTCTCTTTGTGGCACAACAGCCAACGCAAAAATGATGGCGGCTTACAATGGCGGTACGTCTGCAGCAGCAGCAGGTCACCACCACCACCATCACCACCACCTTCCTCACCTCCCTCCTCCTCACCTCCATCACCACCACCACCCTCAACATCACTTGCATCCAGGCTCTGCAGCTGCGGTACATCCCGTACAGCAGCATGCCTCTTCGGCAGCTGCGGCCGCAGCGGCTGCGGCCGCGGCCGCGGCGATGTTAAACCCAGGGCAGCAGCAGCCATATTTCCCATCACCGGCACCGGGTCAGGCCCCTGGACCAGCTGCAGCAGCCCCAGCTCAGGTACAAGCTGCAGCAGCTGCTGCAGTTAAAGCGCACCATCATCAGCACTCACAACATCCACAACAGCAACTGGACATTGAGCCGGACAGACCTATTGGATATGGAGCCTTTGGTGTCGTCTGGTGAGTAGCGAAAAAAAACTGAACCGATTTTTTTCCTTTTCATTTTTTACCAGATCATAATTCATTCCTGGGTTTGTCATTTGAATCAGAATACGAGAAAGCTGCTTACTACGGGTTCTGTTACGGGTGGTTCTCTGTTCTTAGAAAGTTGGCTTCGCTTGTTTTTGTTGGCAGGACGAGGTTTGGAGTGGTGAAGAGCCACCTCTAACAGGCCACACCGTCAGTCTCTTGAGACAAACGCAACATGTTTATGTATACCTTCTATGCATTTCATTAGAATATGTATGTTGTGTAGCTAAGCTGTGCTTCCTAAAGTTTCAAGTTAACAAATGAGCGTTAGAGTATCTGTTTTGACCTGACTGAAGAGTTAGACATTAAAAGCGTATGAAAATGTCTTCCTCCTTCAGTCACCTGTCAAGATCTTTGTCTAGGAGGCTGTTTGACCTGCGGTAGCGTGCTATATGCTACCTGAAACAGAATATCTGAACTTTGCTCTCCTCTCATAAATGTAAATGGGATTTTCTGTCTCACTGTAGTACTGCCTACAGTCCTTTTATTCCCCCAGCCGCTACTTCAGAGGATTCTGTCAGTGGAGCCTAATCTCTTCTAACACATTTTGCGACCACCTTAATATAGTGTACGTAATTATTGCCCTTCAGGATCACTGAAGCAAAGCTGGCATGCGATTTTTTTATATATTTTTTTTTTCCTTTTTTTTATAACCAGTTGTCAGTTTACCGTATTCTGAAATGCTCGTTAGAAACGTGAAAGGTGCCTTGGTGGTGGTGTTGCCAGCAAGCGCGTTGCAGCACGCTTCCTGTATCACAGCGGCAAAGTTTGAAGTGTCCCTGCAGAACTTTCCACAGCGTTCGGTCGACGGGGCTTTCTGTGGTGCTTAAGGAATTTTGCTTTAGGTACAGCCTGTACTCTGATTTTCCTGAAATAGAAGTATTATGTGGCTGGGGTTGCAGTCTGTACCGGCGTATGGTGGCAAGGTGCTTTGCAGGACAGGCCTCAGAAGGGCAAGCCATGCTATTCCTTCGTCCCAGCCCGTAAAGCTGGTCACCCATAACCAGACCAGTGTTTGTAATAAAATCATGTTTTCCAAGAAGGCGGAACAAGCTGCACAAACTAGGCACAGGTTAATGTTACAGCTGATCGTGCGTCCCTTAGTTCAGGAGGCCTAGGGAGTTAATTTCAATGCTAAGTTTTCAAAGGCAGAGAGGTGCTGTCGTACAGTTAGCACTGCTGTGATCTTGCCGTGGTACAGTATAGAAAAGTCGGTATCAAAGAATGAAAACTGACAAGAAATCTGCTGCAAAAAAATTACCTAAAGATTATTTCCATCTGTTCATGTATTTTTTGATAAAGCGTGGAGTTACTTCAAATTAATTGTTACAGGCTTG